AGATCTTGTCAGTTTGATAGTGTTTGAGCACGTGAAATCTGCAGCTTGCACTGTATGCTTCCGCAGAAGCCGAGTATGTTTCTGAGTGTTCTCAGAGGGTCTGCTGGGGTAATAATAGTTGTATAGCGCATAGAGCATGCTCTTGAGCGTGGATATGCGCTATATAAATGCAATTATTATTATTATTATTAACATAAAGGACCGAATAAGCCGTAAACCGGTAAAGAAATATTTTTTTTAAAATGTACGTTTCTTTGCCTCCCGCGACAAAATCTAGATCTCTCCCTCACATAAGGACACCCTCTACTCACCCATGGGCATGTGACTTTGTCCCGGGCTAGGATGACCTTGGCCGAGTCCCGGGGAGGGTGATGGTGTTGGTGCCGGGCTGGTCATCGGAGAGTTCATGGCGATGTGACCTCTAGGCGCTGTGGCAGAGAGCAGAGCTAAATATAGTTTACAGTTCTGCGGGCACTGAGAAGAGCAGTGCTAAATATATCTTATGGTTTCGCAGCAGAAGGAAGTGCTAAAATAAGCTTATGGTTCTGCGGTAGAGAGCAGTTCTAAATATAGGTTAAGGTTCTACAATCGTGAATGAACCAAAGCTAAAAATAAGGGTAAAAATACGGGTTTAAAGCCCCTATCAACACTTACAATACCCTTTAAAAAACCAGTTGCGACATTTTGCAGTGAACCTCGGAACTTGAACTAAAACTGATCTGCTTCAATTATCCAGATTTCACCAGCTGTCGCGAGAGACTCACATTGAGCTGGCGCAGACTTGAGACATTCCGTTGCCACGGGGACGTGGGCGGTGGTGGCCTTGACCCTGTTGGACTTGGTGAGGAAGTTCGGGGAGCTGATGTAGCCAATCTCCGAACCCTTGCCCTCTGCAGGGACTGCTATCACACTCATCGGACCTGAAACAGATCTTTCTTTCAGTGAAGAGAAGCAGATTGACTCAATGACAATCTTTTTATATTATTATTAGTAGAGGGTTTTTACGGCGCTCGCAACTGCATAAGGTCATATGAGCGCCAAGGGGTGGGTGTCAACAGAGAAGTCCTTACAGGGAATCAGACTTACTCTGCTCACCTCTCTAGCTTCAACAGCACAAAGTCTGCTTCGACTATCAAG